ATTAAAAAAAAAATTCTTAACATTGAACTTTTTTCTTTCGTTTATAAATTTATATTTTATAATATAATTCAATTCAAAATTATAAAACAACCATACATTACCTTTACCCCACCAAATTAGTCAAAACCCCCCCACTTTGCCCTTTAACTTTTCAAGTATAAGGCACTTTACCCTTCAATTTACAATTTTTGATTTTTCACCCTCTAATTTTTCAAGTTTATGAAAATAAAGCAAAATTTAACGTCAAGCCTCACGTGCATCATGTGCATGTTATATTGTCGTTAAGTCTTTCTTAGTCAGTGTCACTGCTGTAAAGAATAGCCATGTGTCAAGTGTGATGTGGCATGTGATTTCATTTCAAACTCAAAAATATTTAAACAAATTAATTAATAAATTTTAAATGACACGTGACATTCAATAATTGGTCAAATGAAGTTAATATTATTTAAGATTAATTGAATATTTAAGAAATAAACTAAATGAGTTAAATTACACATTTATCCTCTCATCATCATCCCTCCCGTTCAATCTCTCCCTTCTTAGGATATCCATCTTTGACAAACTCAAGCCTATATTCTTGTTTCTTCAAACACGCTTTTGCCCTTACTATCGTCCATTGGAATTACTATTGTCCACTCCTTTTCTTCATTTGTTCTCTTCCCTTTTTCCCTATTCATCTTTTTTCCATCTTTGGTTCCTTTCTTCCTTTCTTCCTTCCTTTTTTAATGCATATCTTCCTTGCCTCTTTCATCCTTTTCCTCTTCTTCCTCCTATAGCCCATTACCTTCACATCTCTAGTAAGGATTCAAGCACATCTTTCTCCCCCCTCTCTCTCTCTTCCCCCTCCTTCCTTTCTCTCTCTTCTCGCTTCTTCCTCTCCATGCGAACAAAGGTTTTGGGTTTGATGGAACCCAAATCTAGGTTCCATCGAACCCAAATTTCTAGGTTTCATGAAACCCAAATCTGGGTTTGCCCAGATCTCTAGGTTATAGAATCTAACAACCTGGTTCAAAAAACCCATATTCCAAGGTTTTTTAAACTTAGATTCATAGATTTTTTTTTTTTAGCAACAGCCGGCAATTTATAGATGTATTTTCTTAATAGAATTTTTTTTTCAAATACTCTGGTTGTGAAATGGAAATTTAATGTTATGAATGGTGCAAAATTTTGTTTATATGGATGATTGAAATGCGTTATAAAATTGTGAGTTTGATTGGGAAAAAGGGCAAAAGTAGGTTCGAAGAAACAACAATATGGTTTGAGTTTGTCGAAGATGGAGATCCTGGGAAGGAAGAGATTGAACAGAAGGGATGATGATGGGAGGATAAATGTGTAATTTAACTTATTTAGTTTATTTCTTAAATATTCAATTAATCTTGAATAATGTTAATTTCATTTGACCAATTATTGTGTGCCATGTATCATTTAAAATTTATTTATTAATTTGTTTAAATATTTTTGAATTTGAAATGGGATCACATGTCACATCACACTTGACACATGGCTATTCTTTACTGTGGTGATATTGATTACGAAAGACTTAACGGCAATATAACATGCACATGATGCACGTGAGGCTTGACGTTAGATATTGCTTTATTTTCATAAACTAGAAAAATTGGAGGGTAAAAAATCATAAATTGTAAATTGAAGGGTAAAGTGCCTCATACTTAAAAAGTTGAAGGGCAAAGTAGGGGTTTTTGCCCACCAAATTAATGGTAATTACCAAGAATAACAGAAAACAAAATTTAACTCCATCAACCTCAAAGTGTTCCTCTTCACGCGCCCAACACCTTCCAGTTGGCTCCTTTCTCGATGGCGTGTGCCCGACGCCTCTTCCTGCCGATGACGAGTCACACCACCGGCTTCTCTCTTTTCTGATGGGGGGCCTGATTAATTAGAAATCAGAATCATGATAATTTGACGGCTCAGAATCAGGTCGTGGTGGGAACGCAGAGTGAAGTACAGATGCACATTCGACAGGATGTGGTTATGAAATCGTTAAGAAGATCCAAATATTAGGTTTTTTTTTTAACCGGTTTAAGGTAAATAGTTTAACTCCAAAACTGAAGTGTTTGGGTGAGGTGGTCGGAGTTTCAAACTTCATCACCATCGTGAACTTCATCAAAAAATAATTTGATAGTCGTGCATTTCATTTGAGGGGGTGAAATGTTCACCCGATCTGAAAATTAGTTGTTAACAACTAATTCATACTAATTTTTTAACCATTATCTTTGTTAAACAAAAAAAATATATTAGATTTTTTTAAAAACATTATTTAAAAAATAGAGAAAAGATAAGATTAAGAATATCTTAATATTAAAAAATATCAAAATATTTAATAATAATTATTTAATAATTTAATAAAATTAAAATTATATTATATTTTATATATCATATAATTATTATTAGATATCTTAAT